AATTATCTCATTATTATTCGACCGGATATTTCCTATGCAGTCAGTATAATAAGTCAGTTCATAGGGTGTCCTAAAGTATCACATTGGGAGGCAGTTACTCGTATTCTGTGATATCTCAAACGAGCTCCTGGACTTGAACTGTTATATCGAGCTAATAGACATCTTAGAGTGGAATGTTTCTCAAATGCTGATTGGGCTAGTTCTCCTTCTAATCGGAGATCAATCACTGGTTATTGTACTTTCTTAGGAAGTAATGTTGTCTCATGGAAAAGTAAAAAATAACCCGTGATAGCAAAATCCAGTGCTGAGGCTGAATATAAGGCAATGACACATACGACGAGTGAGTTGATTTGACTATTACACTTCCTCCAGGAAATTGGATTTTCAGTTCAACGCTTTTTACAGTTGTTCTGTGACAACAAGACAACTATCCATATTGCCGTCAATCTTGTATTTCACGAGAGAACCAAACATATTGAGGTTGAATGTCATTTTATTCGGGACAAGATAGCAGCTGTGGAGATTACAACTCCATTTGTGAAATCTGAAGATTAACTTACAGATATGTTTACCAAAGCATTGAATCGTATACATCTTACAACTATTTGTTCCAAACTTGAATTATATGATATATATAATCCAACTTGAAAGAGAGTATTACGAATAATAGGATAATATGTGTAAATTGTTAATAGTAATAGGGTGTATGTATAATTCTTATTATTATGAGTTAACTATAAATATAAGTATTGTATGAGAGCTAAGTTAAGGTTTTTAACCACTCCCTGTTTTTTTTTAATATTGTGTTAATTCTCTAAACTTAACAATATATTCGCCTGTAACTGGATTGCACACGACAAAAGGATCATTATTCATGGGTCCTGCGGACAAAGGAAGCCATTGCATGAATTTGCAATATTGAATTTATGATCTCGGGGTTTCACCTTGATGCAATTCTTCTTCCTAATAACACTGTTACAGCAAAGATTCATCCTGGCATCATTTTCACTTTTAAGCACCAGTTCAGTGTTGCGCACAGGGATCTTTAAGTTGGTGTCAAACTTCATATTAATGCGATGAGCACATTTAAACTTCTTGTTAAGATCACCACACAAGCAGTGATCAACATCACTTTCAGGCAGCTCAACCAAGTAAAGCATTCTTGACACGCGGGTAGTCCCCAAGGTCCGAACCAGAGGGCAGGCCTGTGCTTGTGCAAAGTGCAGATTAGCAAACTGAGGATCCAAAATAATGTTCGCCAATATTTACATACGCACTTGCACATGACAATTCCCTTTATAGGCAGCCTTATAAGAATATCTACAAGGATGGGCATAGGAAGATCCGGAACGGAATGGCCTGAGCTCTGAACTTGCTCATCTGCTTCTTTGTTGCCTTTCTGGTTTTCAAAAGTTGTTGAATTTCTTCTTTTTCCCATGGCTTATGATCTATGCAAATGAACCTAGAGTTAGGCATCATATATCACAGAACTTAACTATATCTTGGCATCAATACAATTAATGAGCTACAAAACTGAAGATCGTATGACATCACATTTAGTGGTTTTAAAACTTGGAGCAACCCTCCACCCTTCTCTTTCTTTTTGGTCTTATAGGATAAAAGTGTAACTACAGCAACTATAGAAAAGGCTTATTAGATATTATGTGAAAGCAAAACAGTAAGTTAACATCTGCTTTCGATTTCTTCTTTCCACAACTATTTTAGAAATCCATGGAAACTAAATCTAGAAAGAAAACCTTAACAACAATTACGTAGTTTTATTTACGGTACAATGTAAAGGAGATTAAAACAATACGAATATCACATGGAGCGAATAACAAAACAGCGCCCCCCCCCCCTCGCGGCCGGGTTCCTGGGGCTTGGGGAATTAAAAAAAAACTAAACCCTTTGTTGTTTACATGGTACGATATATCTCTATCACTAATGACTCATAAAAGCTCAAAAAAAATTTCAAAAAAATTCCTTGGACCCAGAAGCCAGTTAGAGATCCAGTACGAAATAGCCTGAAGATCATATGGCATTCCATTTAGTACTTCAAAATAATTTGGAACAACCACCATCCTTCCCTTTCTATTTAGTTGTATACAGAGCATTGATATCAAAACAGTGAGAATTCTGCTTCTTTATTACCCTAATGTGTGTAAATTCTTTCCACAGACATTTAAATCTGTGGAAACTACCACATCTAGAGGTATGCAATGTAAAGAACAAAACGTTAACAACAATCAGTTAGAATTATTTAAGAAGCTTACAAACACATAAAAGGCCTGTTGAAAATAATCTAAACATCATATGCCAAACAATATTAATGGGAAGACATAGGATCAAGTAAATCCCACCCCTAAAAAAACACCCTTCCTTTTAAGGTTTATATGGCATTGTAAATCTATACCTCTAATGAAGTCGTTAATCACTGTGGTTACATATGCAAATTAGTGGAACCCAGAAGCCTGTTAAGACCCAGTTCGAGATATTAGAAGATTTGTACCAACAAGAAGAACCACTCTCCAAAACTGAATGATTCAAACCCAAAGCAAAACCCCTTTTTTGGTCTGGACTAGTGTTCCAAAGTTTCCAACAAATCCCAAATTCATGATCTAGGAAATAAAACTACATATCATACATACCAATCCTAGTGCATTTTAGAAAAAAACATTAGATGCTATGTTTGAGATGTGAGAGAGAGAGAGATAGTTACCAGGAAGAAATTTGAACAGACTTCCATAAAGCGATATGCGGGAAGCAAATTACCCAACAAAGATAATGGAATAGATGAATCGTAAGTGGGTGGGGACTTCTCATCCTTGGCGCGAAATGGGTACGGACGTTTTGTACAATGGGGGGAATAGCAGACCTCGGTAAAAAATTGGGTGAATCTGGAGTGATTACTTTTAAATTAAATTTGTTGACGTAGATATCATAGGGGATCATCGGTGGTCTAGTTGTTGTATCCGCCTTACTCTTTATCTATAGATCGAATCCTCGAGTCTTTGTTAGAGTTCGTTGCTCAACCACTAGCTTAGCTTAGCGAGGTCTGATCAAGAGATATTTCAAGTGCGATTAAGAATTTTATGATCCAACCGATGAAGATCTAATGAAATAATCACTATACATTAGACACTCTTTTTTGTCCTACCCCATTTTCAAACTATCACAAAAAAAAGAAAGAAAAAATTTAATAGGGGATCATCCAATTATTTTGTACCGGTAGATTTTTTCATTTTTTATAGTTGAAGTAACGTTATATTCAATTTGATGTGATGCATGCACGAGTCATTCTCTTCTTTCTCTTAATTCTCTTTTTTAAGCTTTACAATCTCCCACTCATTTTTTTATAAATTAACAAAAATATTATAATAATTAGTGAATGAAATTTTTTGATGTTTAGAAAACTTGGAATATGTAATAGTTAAAGGGAGTTTATGAGTAATTATTTATAATAGTTACTAGTGAGCATCCAGTGTAATACATGAAATTTATTATCTATTCATATTATTGCCGTACTACCAATTCTGTACCAAATTTTTTGTAACCTTTATAGTGCTAAACAATTTATCTTAGTGTTAGAATGATATTCATTTATATATTAAATAATTAAAAAAATAATTAAAAGTTTAAATATTGAAGTAGTTTAAAAAAAATTGTGAGAGTAGTAACAAATGACACATTCAATGATTTGATAAGAGTAATCTAATTAAATATTTCAAAATTCTATTAAATTAGCATTTAAGAAGAAAAGTCTTATCAAGAAAAAAATATTAGGTATAAACAAGTGAGCAAATAAACTCTACTAAAATTCATAACCTCGTGGTCATATAATGCATAACCACCTCCATAATAGAAAGTAAACCATATTTTATCATTTTTGTTATTTTCTTATGAATAAAATTGTCTTTCCTAAATTTATTTGCCAAATCTTGTATTTAAGTGATGTATCAAAATCTCATGCATTTGAATATTTTATGAAGTTAGTAGAGCCAACTGATTCAACCACCCATATTGATTTGAGATATAAAATTTGATAAACAATTTGATCAACATAGCATTGTTATTTTCTTATTGAATAGTTACACCATGTCTTACACCCAATATTTACTCATTCTCAAGACCTCTCATCCCTAATTTGATTGTTTTATAATATAGTAAAATTGGTGAGATTTAACCACTGAGTGGGGTGGTCCAGTTGGATACCAGCCGAATTTCTCACCATGAGGTTAGAGATTCGAGTTTTGGAGTTTACATTGGAGTTTAATGGTTTACTGTTATGCTACTCTAACTAAGTTCGTTTCCAAGAAAAATAATGGACACAATTAGGGACTAATGATTCCATTAATAAGAATCTATAAAAGTAGTCTCTTAATGCTCTCATTTGCCTCCATCCCATTTTAATTATAATTTGTGCTTTAGAATTTATCCCCAAACTCTAACCAGCCCGTTTAAAAACAAATTTAAACTTGTTGGTGAAGGTAGTCACATCTTATTAACGAGATTTGATCCAATAATACTCATTATCTTGTAAAAGTTTTACTTTTTTAAAGTCAAGAGTTCAAACCCGAAAGGAACACATTTTTTAGAGACAATTACTATATTTTTAACTAATTAAATCGCCGAGAATATATCATCAGTTTTTTTTTTTTTTAGTTTTTTTAAAATATACAAAACTCCACTTGAAGATTTCAGACGTAGAACAATGTGGTTCCAAGGGACACCTATGACCTCTGTCAATCCGCAGGACATTTACTTACGTCTCATGAGCAAATAAATTAAGGAAACAAAAATAATTTAAAAAAAAAAACCTTCGAAAGTTGAAATACACCATTTTTTTGGCTGCTCAAATGCAAGACTTATTCTGAAGGGGGTTGTGCCTTGAATCTGTATCCTCTGTTATGCACTTTCTCTTATTTTTTCTCCATGATAAGTCATCCTTCACGTGCCGATAAAAGACCCACTTATATACAGTGAATCATATTTAAATTCATGACTGATAATACTGTTTACAAAATTTGAAAAACATACACTGAATGAGGGAGATCCAAATCCTGCCTAAATAACCTTATGGCACTTGCCCCAAAACCACATTCAAAATTGGTATTCTATGCCCATGAAAGATGATCCTGTGAAGATCCCAAATCATTCAAGTAACCAAAAACATTAGTGCTAGGAGAATAGCTGGTTAATCTGGGGTAATAATGAGAAATCTGCAAAAGGTTCAAAACACATAACTACACATAGTTGTGAGGGTATTCAAGGTAGTTTCCAATGAAAGGTAAATGAGTCTTGAAGTGAAGATTGGACCCCATTAAGTAGTTTTTCAAGCCTGGTTTTCGGCTGCATCTCCCCTGCCACCAGTGTCCACATCATTTTCCTCACTATACGATGAACAATATGAATCCCAATTCAACTCCATTTTCCAATCTTCTTCCACCAATAAAAGAGCTTTAGTCTCTCCCTGCAGTTTAAACCTCGCACACCTGTATCAACAGTGATTGATGTCAGGACTGGGGATCATAATTCTCGAAACGGAGAGATAGAATTTAATTTTCTGAGAGTCAATTCTCACTCAGATAAGAAACTTTCACGCAACAATTTTATTTTTACTCCATGGAATTATTCCACTATTATGTTCAATTTGTTTTTCTCTGTAACCAACATGTGGTTAAGCTTCAGCTGCACAACTTGTTCAAGTACAACTAAATTCTACAGCAAGCAAGGATTGACACTTCAACGAAACAACATAAAGGGTGATCCTAATGTTTGTTAATGCATTGTTTTATCTAAGGAAGGCCTTATTTTTACTACAAATTTTGGAAAACGAAACTTAGAAAACAATTAGAACTCATGCGGATATGCCAAAATCTGGAACATTTTGGTGTGAATATTAAATATCTCTGTTCCTTAATAACAGCAGAAGAAATTCAAAAAGGTTAAAATTTTGTTCCAATAGGTTCACACAAAAATATATTACACAAGTTTCATACTACGAACTGCAGGATACATCTAAATTACATGTAATGCATAGAATTTGCACACAATTAAACTAACTTTTGGCTTTACCGATGCATTTCAAACCCTGAAATTCATTGGATGGCGCGTTAATTTAGTACCCCAATAATATATACAATTCTAAATGTCCCCTAATTTTGCGTATATGTTCCCGTTACTTTTCATCCACTGGTCAAGCATTTTCCTAGTTGTTATAACCTTGTCAATAATCTGAGTTAACCAAGGTACACTGGCATGCCCTAAATACTTCTAAACCTCAATTGGTGTAACATCAAGTCCTAAAGTTGTTTAAACACACCAGAAAGAAATGACATCCAAATTTACTGCAATGGCTTAATTTAGTTCTTGCACAAAATATCACAGCGGGGAATTACATTCAAATCAGTATTGTTGCTTGCCTTGTCGCTTATATCTTACCAGTGACCCAATGCTAATTAGAGCCAAACAAAGAACCCATATAGAACATCTGAAAAGTCAAATTGCTTCATTATAAAGTGAGAACATCAGCACAAGGACTAGGGAAAGAGACTTCAAAGTTCAAATCCCTAGCTTTGCCAAGCAGTTTCAGGGTAGAGCCTCCTTAGGTGGTCATAAACACCACTACTCACCCTCTCTCCTATTGTTTCTCCTATTTTCCCCTTCCTCATCCAGCACCAGAAAAAGAAATAATGAACCTTGAGAGCCTAGCATCACACTAGCAAGTACAGCAGACAATAAAACTAAAAAGACCTTAGTGTTATGGTTCTTATTATCCAACGAATTAACTCCTCATCCAAGTACATACATTGATGCATAAACATCAACTTTGCTCCCTGCATGACTGACATAGTTCAACAAGGTTGAGGCAAATCATATACTCTACAGGTGTCTTATGTTCACAAAAGTCTGCACAGGAGTAATCATTCATCAACAAACTTATCTTCTGACTTGAAGGCATGCTCTATGTGACAATTACACAAACATTTAATAACCAAATGCGGGACATGGACGAGTTTTTTGTACAAACGAGGAAGCTTACATATATGAGTTTGATAAACAAAAGAGAAAAGAGAGAAATGTTCTACAAAAACAGGGTTACAAACATGAGTAATATCATTAATAATGCACGGATTCACGGCTAACTTTTACAGTGACGTGTGAAATTAATATCGGTGATAGTGTGTAATACTTTATCACTACATCATGACAAAGTGTAAGAATAAGCAAACTGCAAAATTGTCACAAAAAAGCAAACCGTTTTATATTTATGACCTAGTCTCAGACCATATAAAAGTTGATTTTTATAGGTGCTTTACAGGCAAGCATATGATATTAACAATAACTTGTTGAATAATCACATCTAATAAAATTTTAAACCGTGTCTTGTTTATGTTCCCCTTTCGCCACTCCCCCTTCTCACGACAAAATATTGGCTCCGTCCCTGCACACACACACACACTGACACAAGCCTTACACAGAAAGGCTATTTAGAAAAAAATATTCTTTCTACAGAAGCTTCCCTGAAGTTGCTGTGCAGATGCAGGGTACACATGTTTGTGATTATTTTTCAACGTGATTACTGGAATACACACCCACACACAAACACAGAAAACCGAATAAAAGAAGTGAAGAAGAGATCACAACATAACAACATATTAATCAGCAAAGCTATTAAATAAAATACAAATTTGCAAACTGTCGATTCTTACCTTGAATTTATATTCAGCACCACACCACTGTTACCTATTACAGCATCCTTAAGCGAGATGAAACTTGGAATATGAGCCACTGCTTCACAGTTTGATTTAATCCCATAAATCTTAAGATATCTCCACTCTTTTTTTTTAGTATCATAATATATTAAGGCACTTTCACGATTAAGAAACATCAGCAGTGGCCCATTCTGCAGTTGACTTATGGGCTGGTACAGCCAACAAGACCACCACTCTGCAGTTCGACTGTCAATAGAACTCATTCTAGTCCATGAACTTTTGACACCATACTTCTTCATCACCCATATAACAATGAGATCATCACCAGAACCATCAGAGAAGCATAAAAGTTGTCTTGCTACTCCCAGGCTCACATGACACATGTCAATCAACCCAAGCACATTACATCTAAGAGGGGGCGATGGAACTGATTGGAAACGCTCGCTGTCAATGTCAAAGGAGACTATAAAATCTGATCTCTCGTAGTCAACACAAAGCCAATGAAGAGCTCCATTCAGATAGGTGGGAAATGTTAGTTTCTGACTTGAGAAGGGACCATAGCCTATGCTTTTCCATGATTCTGTGCCTAGTGTATGTATCTCAGCCACCCTACTATAATATCTTTCTTTGCCTGCGACGGGACAAGGAACCACTTGAGGAGTCCCTTGATCAAACATTCGAATGACCTTGTATTGATTAGTCTTTGGACTGAAGCCGAGCGCACAATCTATGAGACCTTTTGCATTCTCATCAACTTTCTTAGCCATTGGAAGGTTTATATACTCCCCTGTAACTGGATTACATACGACGACAGGATCATTGTTCAAAGGTTCTGACAGACAGAGGAAACCATTGCATGAATTTGCAATTTTGAATTTATGATCTTTGGGTTTCACCTTGATGCAACGCTTCCTCCTAATACCATTATTACAGCAAAAACTCATTCTGGCATTATTTTCACTGGTAAGCACCATTTCAGCGTTGCGCATAGGGATCTGTAATTTGGTGTCGAGCTTCATATTAATGTGATAAGCACATTTAAATTTGTTGTTAAGATCACCACACAAGCAGTCCTCACTATCATTTTCAGGCAGCTCAACCAAGTAAAGCATTCTTGAGACACAGGTAGTGTCCAAGGTCCGAACCAGAGGGTATGCATGTGCTTGTGCAAAGTGCATATTAGCGAAGTGAGGATCTGAAATAATAAGGCGCCAATACTTACATACGCACTTGCACATGACAATTCCCTTTATAGGCAGTCTTATAAGAATATCTGCAAGGATAGGCATAGGAAGATCCGAAATGGAGTGGCCCGAGCTCTGAACTTGTTCATCTGCTTCTTTGTTGCCTTTCTGGGTGTCAAACGCTGTGGAATTTCTTCTCTTCCGCATGCTTAATTACCCTGGAGATAAACAACATTGGTCACAGAAGTCAACCAACTCTTACCCTCAATACAATTAATGAAATACTACAGAAAAGGCCTGTCTGAAGATTATATCACACCACAGTTAGTACTTGTAAAAAATTGAGGCAACCCTCCATTCTCTCTTTTATTTTGGTTATATAGGCTAAACATATATCTCCAGCAAATGCAGAAAAAGGCATATTAGATACTATATGAAATCAAAACAATAAGATATGCTTCTTTGCTGCCTTTTGGATTTCTTCTTTTCATAACTACTACATAAATCCAAGAAAACTACATACAGAAGTATGATAACTAAAGAAATTAAACTTTAACACATAACAACAGTTAGTTTTAGTCACCCAACAATTACTTACAATTGCTAAAGGAGATTACCTCCATACAAAAGTCTAGCTTTTTTTTTTAATAAGATACACAGAAAGTATTGCCGAGAACAGTATAAAGATCAAAAATCACGCCTTCATCTCATAAAAACTTTATTAAAAAAAAAACTAACTCTTCTTTTTTATGCATATGCGATATTGAGTCATCTATATCTCTAATAAAGACATAAATCTTTGTGATTTGTTAGAAAAACCATAGGACCCAGAAGTCAATTAGAGATCCAGTTCAAAATATTAGAGGGTTTGCACTCCAAAACATAAAAGAAAAGAAACGACAACATAGAGAATAATTCTCCAAGACTGAAGGATTCAAACCTCAAGCAAAACTTTAGTATTGGTCTGAACTAGTGTTGCACAAATCCTCAACACTAGATATAAGGGAATAAAGCTACAACACAACAATTCCAGTGTATGATACCATTAACATCAGATGCTCTGTGTGTGAGAGAGAAGGAGAGGGAGAGAGAGAGACCTTAGAAAGAGTTTGAACTTTGAACAGACGTGATTACACGATGAATATGAGATAAGAAATCCGGCGTGTGGGTGGGTGGGTGAGGATGTATTTTTATCAGCCAGCCAAAAGTGGCAAGGACTTTTTGCACAATGGCAGGAATGGCAGCCAGACATCGGTAAAAATGAAACCAACAACAATATTATAATAATGTTATACCATTTAATTTTTATTTTTTGCCCTTCTTTTTATTTTTTGTACCAGGCATAGCTCAGCTTCTCTATAATATTTAATCACCAGTAATAATTCGTGCTTAAAAATACTTTATAACTTAAAAAAATCGGTTAATTTGAAATAATTTTTTTTTATTTACTTTAATTAAAGAAATTGAAATCAATCTAACTCCAACTATTTTTTCAAAAAATTTAGAAAAAATTTCTCTAAATATAGGAGCTCATGAAAATCTCAACTTGTTTGACCTTTCCATAATTTGCTTAAATTAAAAAAATGAAAATCA